GGAGGGGGGTGGGGGCTGGAGACAGAGAACTGGGAGGGGGTCCGTGGGTCATTCTGGGGTTCCTCACCTCTCCTGGGGCCTCTGCTCCCCGCCTTTGCTGTGGAGGGACTCTGAGGACAATCGGGGTGTGGATTAGGAGGGAGGCCATCTCCCCAGCACCTCAAACAGCCTTCCCAGGTCGCCCCACCCTCGCCCTGAGACCTACCGTGTTTTCTCTGACGCCGGCGACGGACTAAGAGGAGGACCAGCAGGAGGAGGCAGAGGAGAAAGGCCACGGAGGTCCCAACAAGGATATAAACGTATTTGCTCGACAGGCCTGGGAGAGCAGGGAAGATGGAACCAAAGTGTCTGCAGGATGAACGTATTGAGCACCAACTGCATACCACGCATAGGCTGGGTGCCTGTCGTGTTCACGCTTTTTTATCTAATCTCCCACATGCCTAGTAGCCCTGTGGCACAGGACCCATCATCCCCATTTCACAGAACCAGGGTCCCGAGCGCGGACGCCCTCTGTCCACAGGACGTTCCCAGAGCTGAGGTGTGAGCAGCACCCAAGCCCATTCTCTTCCCTTCCCCCCGAGGCAGGCTCCGGGCCCAGGTCCTCGGTCCCCATCGCTCACCGCGATTGCTACCGTCCTGTGAACGGGCCTGTGTGTCTCCTGGGAGCGAGGAGCCAGGCGGACATGAGTCAAAGGCCCGAGCTGAACAGAGGAGGCTGGAGTGTCCAGGTGCCCCCAGGGCGGTCTCCCCGCTCCGGGCCCTCACCTGCTCCCCCCAGGACTGCTCTGCCTGTGGGCCTTTCTGTGAGGATGGAAATGCCCAGGTCTGTCCTGTTCAAATTGGTAACCACACGTCACCGTATCCACTGACATTTAATTGAAATAAAAGCCAGATTCTCAGCCAGGCCCGCGTGGCTCAGTGGTTGTTGACCTACAAACCCGGAGGTCACAGGTTCAAATCCCGATCAGGGCACATGCCTGGGTTGCAGGCTCGGTCCCCAGAAGGGGGCGTGCAGGAGGCAGCTGATCAATGATGCTCTCTCATCATTGATGTTTCTCTCTCTCTCTCTCTCTCTCTCCCTCTTTCTTCCTCTCTGAACTCAATAAAAATATATTTTTTTAGGCCCTCAGCTGCACTAGCCACATTTCCGGGGCTCAGTGGCCACACCTGGCGAACGGTGCGCGCACTGGATGCAGGTACATCAGACCCACTAAGAACAGGAAGTGCCGGCCTCCTTCTGGGCCCCACCCCCAGGGCTGGCACCCCCATCCCTGATTCTTCTTTCTTTCTCACTCCAGCTCAATAAAAATATATTTTTTTAGGCCCTCAGCTGCACTAGCCACATTTCCGGGGCTCAGTGGCCACACCTGGCGAACGGTGCGCGCACTGGATGCAGGTACATCAGACCCACTAAGAACAGGAAGTGCCGGCCTCCTTCTGGGCCCCACCCCCAGGGCTGGCACCCCCATCCCTGATTCTTCTTTCTTTCTCACTCCAGCCTCAGCTGGTCGCGGACGGTCCTTCTGGGAGCGAGGAGGCCGAGCCCTGAGCTCCTCCTGCTGCCTGAAGCCCTGCAGTGAGCGGGCGCGTGGATGGAGCACCAGCCTGGTCGGGGCTGGGCGCATGCGCTGTGCGTCCATCGCGCCTCTGCCGGTTACCTGCTCTGCGCATGCGCACAGCGCCCCCATGTCACAGGCGGTCAGACTGAGGTCCAAGGGCTCGTCCACGCACAGTGTGCGGGTCTCCCTGTTTCTTCTTCTGGAACCAGGAGGACATGCCTCCTCATGTCCTCAACTTCCCTTAGGAAAGCAGGAAGCTTCCCCTCCCGGATCCTCCCTCCCCGCCCTGTGACAGCCCAGGACCCAGGACCCAGGCCCCGGCCCCTGTTCTGCACGCCGCTGCCTGTCCTTCCCTTTAAGACATTTAGCACAATTTAAACTTAGATGTTTACGTAATATGTGTGTCATGTGTGTACTATGTGTAACGTAACCTATTTATATATTTGTAACAAAATTATGTAATTATAACCTAAGTATAGTGGGTGTACATATATCTTTAAAATTATGTGATTTTACTTATAAATGTACAATTTGAACTACATAAATATGTAAAAATATAAATTTAAAAGAACTTATACTATATAAGGTATATAGTATAAGGTATATATCAATTATACATGTTATTATATAACATAGGGTGCGTATTTATGTTCACATTTGCATATACTGATTTAGTAATACATGATATAATTGATCATACTGTACTGTATATTCATTTGTAATGTTCTTATTATATTAATCATATTATTTATATATTCTATATAATAAAAGGGCAATATGCAAATTGACCCTAAGGGTGGAATGACCAGAACGACCGCTTGACCAGTCCCTATGAGGCGCACTGACCACCTCTCGGTCTCTTTCCCTGGCTGGCAGGCTCCAATCGCCTGATGGTGAATGGGGAACAAGGGGTGGGTTTTGGCCAAAGGTGGGGCCAGCTGTGTGCAGCTGGGGAAGATTGCCTTGATTGCAGGCCAGGCCTAGGGACAGTACCTGCCATAAATTTCGTGCACTGGGCTTCTAGTATTAAATAAAATGCACTGAAAACTAGACATGACACCACACCATGCATTATTTTATAACTGCTTGGGTATGTTGTTCTTAATTTCTTATCACAAGTTAAAAATTCTGATTGTGGTCTAAGTATCACATGGTTATTCCCTCTAAAATATATACCTTCATATATTTCAAAATGATGTTTCAAAGAGGTTGAGAACCATGAAAGACACTTATATGTACTTCTTACAATAAATAATGTCCAGGTGTGGTATTTCTATTTCTTTGTCATTAGAGATGTTATAGTACTGATTTCTCACACCATGGCCATATATGTTCAAATGGATATGTTTATATGCCATATGTATATCAACGTTTTGCTTGGTAACAAAAAGTCAATTCTTTCTGAGAAATAAATGTCAGGAAATATCCTTATTGACTAGAAATAAAAAAGGAATTCAAATGTTTGATGTAGCAATCATTTCAAAGAATAGGTGGATTTTCATAAAATAAGGTCAGTCCAAGTCCTGGTACGTAAACTCACGCACCCAGAATAATCCACGTCTCAAGCACTTTGCCACCCAGCGGCACAGGGCATGGGGCAGAATCTCAGAGAGAGAGCCTCCACCCCGCAAACCCCTCCAAGCTGAGGTCTCTACTCACCAGCTGAGAGGGGCTTTGTGTCTGTGACGGAGGTGGAGCTGGGGGCGGAGCTGGGGGTGGAGCTGGGAGTGGAGCTGGGAGTGGAGTTGGGAGTGGAGCTGGGAGTAGAGCTGGGGGTGGAGCTGAGAACTCGGGGGGCTCCTGTGAACAGGGCAGGGGAAGGGCTGATGCTCTGTGGGGGCTGCCTGGGTTCCTCCAACTCGGGCTGGCCCCCTTCCACCCTGAGAGTCCACCCACAGGCCACATCTGTCCATCACTCAGTCCCAGACGGCACCCTGAGCTATGGGGGGGCAGGAGAGGAGGAGAGCCCTGCTCCACTCTGCTGGGGGTTCACTCCTCTCAGCTCCCCGCACCAGTGCCTCTTGGCCTCACAGAATCAGCAGGGAGCACCTCCCCTGAGGCCCAGGGACATGGGGGTGTCCCTGATGGACTCTGAGTCCAGGAGGTGTCAGGGGCTGGCCACACACAGGGAAGGACAGCTTCATCCCCCAAACCCCTCAGAGCATCGTCCTGCCCTGGTCATGCCCCCTGGACCATGCCACTTGCCCATGGAGGGTGGACCCCAGGGGTCACATTGCCTGGGCCCCACAGAGCCCGGCCAGGGGAAAGGGCAGGGCACCACCATCCTGAAGGGAAGGACTCAGGCCCCTTGAAGGGGTCTGTCCCCACCTGGTGGCTGGAAGCTCAGGCCCCACCCAGCCCAGCAGGACAGCTCTGTGTCCCCTCTGATGCGGGGCTCAGGGTCCAGGCCACCTTGGAGTCCAGATGGGACCAGACCTCAGGGCCCTGAGCCAGGGGTGAAAGCTGAGGGCCATGTGTGCAGAGGGAGGGGAGCCCCAGGGCTGGGGGTGAGCAGGAGGGCAGGGAACTCGAGGACAGAGACAGGGCTGAGACAGGGAGCAGGGCCCTGGGACCCACCTGAGGGCAGAGTGGAGATGTCCTCCTCTGTCACCTTCAGCTCTAGGGGCTCACTGCGCTCAGACCAGCTCTCATACACACTGTCATAGCGGCAGCGGTAACTCCCAGCCATGTCTTCACTCACTTCAGGGAAGTGGAATCTGGCCTCTGTCGCCTGTGAACCATCTTGAGACACACTTCTCTGATCGAGATATGCACGTCTTCCATCTTTCCCCAGGCGGAAGAAATTAGCCCCAGCTGGGCCCTGGCACACGAAGGTCACAGACTGTCCCCGGGGGATCACAGGGCCTGGCTCGGCCCTGAGGGAGGGTTTGGGCCAAAGCCCTGGGAGGAAGCAGAGCAGGATCTCAGGCTCCATCATGAAGAAATCACACCTCACACCCACCGTGTTTTAAGTGTGTTCTTCATTGTTTTTACCAAACTCACAGAGCTGTGCAACCCCCACCGAAGCCCAATTCTACACCATGTGCACCATCCCTTCCCCAAGAGACCACCCCTCTACCCCCTCCAGGAAACTGAATTCTCATCTCTCCAGTGATTCCCCATGTGACACTTGGACTTGAGTTGTGGTGACATCGTGGGCTTTTCTCAGGGGGACACGGGAGGTGTCAGAGCAGCCTGGGGCCCCGGGCACGTCTCCCGCCCCACGGCCACTCTCCAGGGGGACAGACAGGGCTGGGAGGGAGGCAGAGGGTGAGGATGGGCAGGTCACTCTTGGTGAGAGGGGACAGGAGACTGAGAGGGTGTTTCTGAGAGTCCCCAGCTTGGCTCAGCCAAATGGGAGCGTCTGCAATGGGCTCTAAGGGACAGAGTCTGATCCCACAATGCCCCGGGGTCTGTTTTTTGGTGATTCCAGGAGACTCAAATGCAAAGTCCTCCCCTAAGTCATCCCAATTAGCCACTGGGCAGGGTCTGCAGGCAGCTGGGGGAGATTTCGGGGACTAATGGGGGCTGCAGTGCCCCATGGGAAGTCTAGTGGGGGTGTCAGTGGACACCAGCCCAGACCTGCTCCCAGAACCCCAGTGGGTGGGGACCCGAACTCCTGGGCACGTCCTCTGAGCAGCACTCACTCAGGTTCCCCTAGCATCTTCCACCTCCCTCTCAGCCCATTTCCACTTCCTTGTGATTGAGGCGCCTGAAACCCCAAGTGTCTAAACTGGGCTGGGCAGGGAAGAGAGGGTTCTAGCCCTGAAACAGGAAGAAGGGATCGAAGTTACTCAAACCCGATAGAAGCAGAGCTGGCCGAGCCCCAGCACTCATTCCCTCCTTCCTTCAGCCACAGCTCAGCTCACATCTCTCCCTTTACACACGCCTACTTGTGCCATTGGCTCCACAAATAGGAGAAACACAGGAGGGTCCCTGCCTTCTTGGGGGAAGGGAAGAGGGAGCACAGGGTGAGGGGGGAGTGTGCAAACCACAGCCATGCGCTCTGATACTCCCTCAGGGCTGAGTGTGGGAGGCTCAGGGTGAGTGTGGGAGGCTCAGGGTGAGTGTGGGAGGCTCAGGGTGAGTGTGGGAGGCTCAGGGTGAGTGTGGGAGGCTCAGGGTGAGTGTGGGAGGCTCAGGGTGAGTGTGGGAGGCTCAGGGTGAGTGTGGGAGGCTCAGGGTGAGTGTGGGAGGCTCAGGGTGAGTGTGGGAGGCTCAGGGTGAGTGTGGGAGGCTCAGGGTGAGTGTGGGAGG